CTTTGACTCTGCTCCAAGACTATAAATATGGTTTCAATCAGTTTCTTCTCTGCAAACAAAATAAACACACTGGCTTTGCTTTAACTGCACTGCTGAAGATGATCAAATCTGTAAAAGCTTCTTAAAGAAAGAGTTAGAGTATTAGGTTCATTTTCAAAGCAATAGTTACTTTAGTTACAGAAAAGGGAGCTTTAAAGTCTTGGTGCTGTAAGAGTATCACCTGGAGTTTGATTTTATTGTGCTAACTGGAAATTGGTAAAACCAGTATGAAATGAACGTTACCCCAGAATGAAAAAGGGTAGGACTGTTTTTTTTCTGACCAAATGAATCACTTTGAAATCTTATGTCCTGGAAAAATTAAATCATGAGTCACAGTTTCTTGGCTGAAGATGCATCTCTTCAGATTGAATGTCACAGCAATGCAGTTTGTAGGTGTCTCAGCTTCTGTGTGCTGCTTCCTTCCCTTCCCGGGGATTAGGCGTACTGACCCTGCGGGCTCTTGTGCCAGGTCATGCTGGTCTGTGGAGAAGAGCAGTGACGGAACTTGCACGTGCATCTCGTTGAAATAGGAAAAAGGGGCAAGAGCTGAGGGACGGTGACGCTTCAGCCCTGCAGAGCTGCGGGCAGAGCTCCTCCTTCCCCTGCCGGGATGGACAAGGCTGAGGCCGTCCCGTGGCGCCAGCATCACCCTTGCTCAGCTCACGTGGTTCCCGTAGGCACTGTGTTGGCATTGCTTCTGACCGCCTGCAGCTACTTAGCTAATTCTAATTAACTGTTTAACTCATACTAATTAGTCATTAGTATCAGCTTAGCAGGCCTAACTCCTGTCTGTCTTTCCCGATAAAACCCGAGGCTGAGCCGGAGAAATCCTGAAGTGCACAGGCAGGCAGTTGCCCTTCTGTGTCCACCTCCAACACCATGTGCTAAATCCTCCCTCTTTCCTCGATGGCTGCAGGTATCTTGTAGAGGTTTTATCCTTGTCTGTGATTAGAGCCCTTCCAGAAGCCTCTTCACTGTCTCTTGACCTGCTGATTTCCCACACTCCATCTCTCCTTGTGCCACAATCCTCTCTGAGCCTTTTGCTAGACTGGGATCTGCTACGCCCCTTCAGCTTCCCCGTCTCACCTTTCCGTGGTCCAGCATCTCTGTAGTGGGGTTGATCCTCTTCTGTTGCTTCAGTCCTCATCTCCTGCCTCTTCTACCAGATGAGACCTACCTGTTTGAACATCAGTGCTTTTCTACCACCTTTTAGTCCCATTGCCATTTCCTTTGCAGGAAGATGTTTTCAGAGATTTCTTGGTTTCATAGATAGAGGGGTTTTGGAGAATGGCAGAAGTGTGATACGGTCATGTCTTCTTGTAAGCATGTGCCACTAGAAGTGTCCAAGAGCCTATGAATTTCCAACCCTAAGCTGGAGTTAAACACATTCCCTGGGGATTACCTTCAGTCTTCCCTAGTGACGTGGCTTTGCTGTGCCTAATGAAAGGTGAAGAAAAACAGGAAAGATATCGTCTTAAGTGAAGAAGGCAGTTGAACGTGCTCTGTCTCCTGTCACGGTCTGATCCCAAAGTGTGACTGGTAGTTTTATTTAGAGGTCAGTGGTCAGCTCTTGCTCCTTCCCTCAGCAAGCCCTCACCTTTCATCCCTCTCCCCAGTCTCATAAATGGAGACTGTGGTTCACAGCTGAAACTTGGTGCCTCTTCTGCCCTGGGAGCTTGGGGTGAGCCACCATGTTTCTTCCCCTGTGTTTGGTCTGCATGAAAAGTGGGCAATTGGTGGCTGCTCTGTTATGAATGTGAACCATCCCTTTGAGACTCACTTCCCAGTGTTGCCCACAGACCAGATGTGTGGCTCTTGGACCACTTGTAGGGAGTTTTGCTGACATGGAGCACCACAGACTGCAGGATGGGAGAAACCGTTCCCTGGGCCTCCAGTTTCACTGTCTGTCTGCTCCACGTGTGCTTTTCTTCGTGTTTTTACCCAGCTGCAGCTCAGTTTAACTCCAGTGCCTCCTTTGGCTGGCGGTGATACAGTCATATCATTGCTTTCTTCTTTGCTTGAGCACATTACCTTTGGCTTTGGGACTGAGGTTAGCATCTCGTCTCCCATGACATCCATAGCTTTGGGTGCTAGGTGTGAGACTCTCTGCATCCTTCTGATGAAGACATGAGCAGAACTGAATGCATACCTGATGTACAGCAGGAGGACGCCACCCTAGTGCCAGGGCTGAGATTGGCTGATGCATCCTGTAACTGGGGCTTTTGGTGGGTCCTAGGAGCCCCCGCTGCTCGGCTCTCCCAGCTCTTCCTGCTGCCCAGTCCAGGGCTCGCTCTCTGTTGATTCATGGCGTTAAATTTTAATAAACCTGAAAAAGATTATAAAATGTCCTTTTGAGAGGCAGGGTTTTGAATCCCCGACAAGTGGACTGAAAACCAGCAACAACCCTTTGTGCTGAAGTATATGATGAAGTTTAAAAAGACAGAATTTTAGAGCATTAGGTCATCTTCAGTGTTTTATTCCGTCCCATTTGTGAAATTGTTGAGTATAAAGAGAACATAGTGCAATTTTTCAAGTGCAGTTGACACCAAAAGATGAATTCATTAGCTCCAGCCCAGACAGAATTTTTTTAAATCTGAAAATAATAATATAAAGAGGTTTCATTCAATATATGAATACATTGTCTCCAGGATGTTTCTAAGAAGTACTGAATCTATAATGACCACCTACTGCCTTTTCACTGGGAGTGCATCCCACTGTTACTAACATTAATAATAATAAAGAAGACACGGAAAGCACACAGGCAACATTTTAATTTTTCAGAATTGGTAAAATGTGTTCTTCCTTTCTTTGAGTATTCTTTGAATCAGTATTTCATAAAAACAGTTTATATTTGACTTATGTGACTTGTCTCACTGAAGCCATTGGTAGAGCAGAATTTGGTTCAAAAGCACCCGATAACCCATAATTTTGTACAAGCATGTATTTTTTGATTTACCCAATGTATCTTAATATCAGGAAGTACTCAGATTCTGCAGAGGAGAGCCACAGACGTTGCCTGTTTAGGGGAAGAAAAAAAAAAAAGGAAGAAAAATTAAGCTAGAATTACTAATGCAAAGCTAAGCAATGGCTCCATAACTGTGTCTGGACTCTGGTTGAGTGGCAGCAGATGAGAACTGCAACTTTATTCAACAAATATCGGCTAAAGTTCCTTCACATGCAGCTCCCCTGGGTGAGGGGATCAGGCCTGCAAGGTGCTGAGTGCTTGGGCTGCAGTCCAAGGAAGCTTATTTTCAAGCTGTAAACCCAAAGGGACTTGGATGTTTTAAGGCTAAGGCTGAGCTCAAATGCTCTGGTGCAATCTGGCCCAGAGTCACAATTCTTTGCTGGATTAAGATTTTTGAGAATAGCCGGCTTTGGGTTGAGTAAATCTGAAAACAGATCATCTGGTG